AATGGGCATAGTAGCTGTCTCCAGATGTAGGCCTCCCATAATTCAGGTTTAGGTATTTCCAATTTGTCTCAGGTGACTTTTCCTCCCTCAGGTTATTAGTGTCAAGTTTCTTCTTGTCCCAGGGGTTCTAACTATGCCTCACTACCTTATTATATCTAGCTAACTCTAGATAAACACACACAAATCAGTGGTTTATTACGAAAACCCCATAATACACAATGAATGATCCAAAGGTATCATGCTTTTCTCTTCCAAAGAAAGGAAACAAAAACTTGTAAACTTTTGATTTTAAATTCCAAATAGGACTGTTAAAATTGTTCCTTTACACTAACTTTTAATAGGAAGGTCATTACTATTTTTACTTTGGAGGCCATTCCTTTTTAAAAATCAAATTTGATTATATTCTCTCAGACCTTATCAACAGTATAACTTTTTAGTTTCCTCAAAGCAAGATTTAAACATATTTTTTTGGATATAGCATTTGCTGGTTTATTTTAGCAGCCTCAGACCTTAATCTTAAGGTGATGGGAATGAATAGAAGATAGAAAGACACTGTACAAGTAAAAAGGAAAATTGATAGCTAGGCTATTTTTTCAGCAAATGCATTCAATACTGATGATTATTCATTCCAGTGTATCAGAGGCAATATTTCTTTCTTGACCTAGAAACAACATGTGCAATATCTATGTCTCTAAAACTCTCTAGTTTCATGGTATGATGGTCAAGAGTGAGGGCTCTGGAGACAGACTGTTTTGAGTTTGAATACTAGCTCCATTACTTACCTCATGCAAGCTACTTAACAAGTCTGGCCTTTGTTTCTTCATCTATGAAATGGGGATAATAATAGTTACCTACATCAGAGGGTTGTGTGAGGATTGAATGAGTTAAAAATGTTAAAAACTTAAAATACTGCTTGGCGCATAGTAAACATTTAATCATTATCATCATTATTTATATTTGTGCACTGATGTCAATCCTTATTCATCAAAACTCTTTGGATGTGAGAGGAAGTCAGAGTATCCATTAAAAAATTAAAAATTTAAGAATTTAAGGGCCAGCCTAGTGCTGCGTTGATTAAGAGTTAGCTTGG